TAGGATATCCTTCAAACGCCTCGCTTCTTCTAACCTTCATGCACTGGCGCAATAGATCACAGCTTCTAACTAGGCAGTCCATAAAAGACATGCTTTGAACGAGCAAGAAATGGCAAATGCTTGACTTCCGAAGTTTTTTCGATGGCAAAGCTGTTAAGCGCTTTCTTTATAAATTTACTCCCAATAGTTTGTATGGGTGGCTCTGGGTTCATAGCACCCGCTAAGCATAGCTTGTTGCGTGTATCCCGAACCCACCACCCAAGTCGTGCCTTCTAGTTCAACGGATAATTTTGTCTCCGTCCTTGCGCCAACAGGACTGCGGAGGGTTTTACGTGCCGCACAATGCTGCGACACGGTCGCCCCGGGCCAGGTTTGACAATCGCTGGCTAGTTGTCAGCTGATCGTTCCATTTCAGTCGGGCCAAACAATGCGCCCGCTCTGGGACTGGCACCCAGTGCCGCTGGATTACGAGTCCATCTTCTCTCCCCTAGACCACGGATGCGACACGGGCTCGCACGCTAGACACGGAGGCGGCGCTCACGAACATAATCACCAAACGAACCAAGTCGTTTCCACAAAAAAATCCGCTCCAATACATAAAAACCATGAAAATCTTATCGTTAAACTATCGGAGATACGCAGAGAAGTCCGCTCTACAACAAAACGGATTAACCTGAACAACCGCGCATATTAAGACCCAGTACCGCAGCATTTACTGTCTTCCTAATCCTTCTCAGCGAATGGAATTCAAAACCAAGCACTTACATAAAAGGAACCCTGGACTAGAAGCTCCCAAGAAATATCGTGTCTTTCCTTTTCCGCATCCATGCCGCACGGAAGAATACCGTGATTTGTCGAAAAATCATAAGCCGAATATTTCACTTCGTCTCGTCGCATCTGTCAGCGGTGGTTTTCAGACAATCCGTTGCAGACTCTTCGCAAAATTTACAATTCGGATTACGTCTCTATTCGCTGCTCACTTGCCTGCCTCACTACCATGTCTCCAGAGGGTGAATGCTATATAACCGGCTAGGCTTCTCCCAGGTAGTATAAATGTGATGAATCTGGACGGCACTGTTCACAAACAAACAAACAATGCATAGTTTGGTAACGAGAATTATAGATGAAAACTTGATACAAAATGCCTACCTCGTATGAGCACAGATGATTGCACAAAATGTCCAACCCATATTTTTAACCATAACGTTAACTAATTAATTAATTCCATCCAGTGTTTTGGATCACATTGTCCAGCCAAATAGAGTGTAAGACCTGATGATGTCATACGATACATCAGTGACCATTTCGGAATCTGGGCACATGCAGGAGCTCACGCACAAAATTCAATTGCATAAAATCATTGCACATCACGCCAGTGTTTCTTTCACTCTGAACCACGCCGCACGAAATGTACCTACTCCATGTATGATTCCCTTTTTGCAGCACAACCAGCTGAAAGCCGTACCGCATTGCTGTACTTCAAATCCTTGACCGTCCCATCATACTGCGGAACAATCCAGCCTATCCCGTGGCTGCTAAGAAAGCGATCTTTGTGTTACAAACGTGGAGAGCGGCGCGTCTATGTTCTGGTCAATAGTCGTTTGAGCGTGGTGTGGCTAAATTTCCCTCCCTTGCAGTGAGAAAGGATGCCCCCGAACACCGAGTCATCTCTGACGCTTGTGCTGTACAATCTTGAGTTCATGCTTTATCAGGATCACGAAGAAGTTGAAGAAAGGCGAAACGAAGACATTACGGACATGCAGAACTACTGTTTATATACGACGAGCTGTGCGACTTAATAAACGCCTGCGTAAGATCGAACGGTTTGCACCGCTTTCAGGTAGCATAGACCTGTGGTCCTAGTTTTGAGCACATGGCAGTTAGGCCAGCCCTGGATGTCCCAGCGTATCCAGCTTGGAGTAGCTTGCTACTCATGCGTTATGGTACTGGAAGGAAAATGCACACAGAAGGACGCAGTGCATACCATAAATCGTAACCTCTGTCCACGGATATTTTAAAAACAAAAAAACGAGAGGTCCGTGACCAGTTCGATTAACACCTTAGAAGCGGACGCTAGAGAGCGTGCGGGCCACAGAGGAACGCACAGTAGACCAGCACGCGGCAGAGGAGCATAGCAGAACAAATTCCAATTTTAAAGTGGAAAGCACATTACAGACAAAAGACAGCGCGAAACTGGCAATATTTAAATCGCTGTACATCTGCAATCTCTGTCCAGTGCTTAAAACACACACGTCGTGTTGGGGTTTGGTTAAAGAATCGTTTTTGGGTTATACACGTTCATCAATATTTTGCCATCTAGTGGTTAAGTTGAACACTGACGACAGCTGGCCAGTTGCTTTTCATCCTTATTGTCGGCACGAATCTTGGAAGCCTTTCGGATTAGCAGCATGTATTTCCGGCGGCCCACAGCGCAGCACAGTGTACTGGATGTTACGACTGTACAGCCTGGATGGCTGAAGTGTTGGTGATGTTCTTGCAATGTCTGCGATGTCTGATGTTCGTTAAGACAATTGTCTGACTGCATGCTCGATATTGGCCGTCGTGACACTCACACTAAGCCGCCTGTGCTTTGTGCAGCCCTTACCAAAGAATCATGAATGGGGTGTTAGGATGTGGGATCTCAAATTATTCATTATTTCGAAACATTTTTAACGACAGTGTCTGGACAGATGCATAGCGTTCTCTGCGTTGCATGCGCATTATTTTTCTGCTTAACCTTGCTAACTCGTGACCACCAGCACCGCTTCGTAACGCCGGACTTTCACAGCATAACCCGTGCTGGCTTGAAGACTTGCGTAACCAGGAACTCCTGTTATATTTAGTGTCGGTTGTTTTCAGTATGAAAGCTCTCATGTCATAACGAAACTATGCGTGGTGAATGATGCCCGCACGGAGATAAATGCCGTAAAGTCAAGTTCTTGGAAGGTTTGAGTGACCTTTGTTTTGTACCCATCAATGCAACGTTTTAAAGGACAATATCGTTGCCGCATCGCGTCATGCATGTTCCTAAGCAAAATTATGTCGGCTGCAACCTAATGTTATAAACCCCTAACAAACAAACCCACCTAACACAATTGGAGATGCGTCGTACCACCAATTAGGTGCCAACCTACCGGATACTTACTTATCCAGTAGGTCTGGCACTACTTGATTTCACCAGAGCCTGCGTCATTTCCATCAAAAACACTAAAACCGTGATACTCCTGACCGATTAATTTGTACCTAGTACATCATGCCAATCTGGACATGAATTGGTGCTGTTCTTTTGCCATATGCTTGCAGTGCACCTATCTCTGGCTAATGCATGGCTATTCGGAGCCTGACGCAGGCCACATGACATTGGATCTGCGCGTTAAAACACATTGTGCAGATGCTTACCATCTGACGTACATAGATCGTGGGTCTTGTCACTTCACCGAAAGTGAGCCAGTGAGAGAAAGCCGACCCGCAGGTATCGGAACACGTTATCAATCGCACGCGCAAGACTATGTGCTACCGGTCCTCTACTCTGCCTAGGCATCAATTACAGGTACCGTAATATACTCCCAAACCTCAACAGACAACTTACAAGTCAGCTGTTACACACAGACTGTCAAGCAACAACCCGTCTGAGGCAAACATCGGATCTCAATGCACGAAGCCACCAGTTGGAGGACAAAAACCAAACGCCGCAATCCGCAGCCTGTCCGTGCTCTGGACGCTCTCCCTGTCGGGCCAGGCTACACCCGTGCTCCCTGCACTGGAGCTGGCCGTCCGTGCGGCGGCGGTCAGCGCTGGCCGCGCGAGCCGGGCGCCGCGGCCGTCACCCTGAGCCGGCGCGGCGAGCGTCGCCACCGGCGCCGCCGCCGAGCCGGCCATCGCCAGCCGAGGCCCGGCGCCATGCTGCCAATCAATAGCGGCGGTCGCGATTGGCCGTCAGCCGCCGCCCCCCGCCGCGCCGCCAGCACCCTTCATTCGCAGCCCCCATCCCCTCCCGGGCCGGGATGAAAGCGGCGGGCCGCGGCGCGCCGGCGGCTCCCGGCGCGCTCTTTGAGCGCAGCACAATGCGAGGGAGGCTCGAGTTCGGCGGCGCGCTATTGAGCGGCGCCGGGACGGCCGGAGCGCGGCGGCCGCCACCTCGCGCACCGGCCCCGCCGCCGCCCAACCACCTCCCGGTGGTGAGAACCGATCAAAATCGCGCGCCGCGCGCCGCGCCGGCCTTGGGTCGCACATCGATGCGGGAGCCGCGTCGCGATTGGCCTTCGCCGGAGAAAGGGGAGCGAAATCCGATCAGAACAGATGGGCTGGAACTTGTCGCCAGGTCGCGGCGCGCATTCAGCCCTGGATCACGCCAATGGTGAAATGGGGCGGAGGAGAGTTCGGCATCCGCAGCAGGGCCGGTGCTACCAGGCTTTGGGAGGCATTCAAACCAGACGGACATCTGGTACGTTCTCCTCCATTCGAAAGCAATTACGGTCGACAATAAACGACCCGTCACACGATACATTGCGCGACACGCCGTTCATGTACTGACATACAAGCCGCGCTTGGGGTCGTCGATTCGACTGACCGCTACCTAGACATTTTCTGTTTGACCAGCGTCCTGGCGTGATCTGATCGGCCAGCCGTGGTGCTGGACGTGAAACTGTTCAGAGCCAGAAGCCGATGTAACTATTTCTGATGTCAGCACTTATCCACTTCGCTCCCTTGTGGCATCAGCTGACCAGTGGCTCATCACGAGAGTTACGATTTGATGTGCCACGACATCGGGACACCGATTCGGCGCAAGCGTTATCCAGTACGGTTCTGGGAACACCCAAAACCTCACAGGACAAACGAACAATCCTTGCACCCAAACGGCCATCAGCACAGTGTCCATCCTCCATAGTGTTCATAGTGTTCATAGTGTCTGTAGTGCCCATCCAAGCATCCTCAAAACCTGACCAGAAATGCCAGATCCCCGACACATAAGGCGCCGCCTTAGAACTGACGCCACTTACCTGACGTGCTTGTAGCTTGTTCGCCGCAGTTCCTGCGTAATTTGCGCTATCTGCCTGTGCGTTCTTGTTCCAAAGTAAATTTTCGGCCTCCTGAAACAGACAACGCTTTAGGAGAGAAGCCAGGGTGGGAGCCGACAGGCGGCCAGCAATCAAAACACAAAGCCGGTGCAAGTGGCTGCGATAAACCACCGCTACCAAACCCACCGCAGCACGGCGCGAATGACGGCAAAACGCCACCGGTATCGGCCCAAATGAAGCGCGCTGGCTAACACAATCGGACGCACTAACTACGAGCGAGGCCGCAGGCCGAGCGAGTTTTACTTGAACTTTGAGAAAACCTTCAACTTAAGAGAGCCAACTCGGTTCGACTCAGTCCTAATCAATAGCTTTCCGGCAAATGGTTGCAGCTTCATGCGACTGGCTTCACACAGCGCAACTCTCGTAAAGCTGTATTGTATCAATTTGTATGCATTTGCTTACAAGCTGTTCGACCCAACAGGATTTGCCCACATCATCGTAAGTACAAAATTTGGCCTTCCTGACCTTTCTTCCAGCACGGGTCAACACGAATGCCAGATCTTGACGGCCAGCGTGTTGTAGCTACACGATATGCTGCAATCTAGGCAGACGAGACAGTTGACAATGGCAATGACGAAAGGATGGACAGACTGGTGCATCATCGCGCAACTACGAGCGCAAACCATGGCCCGTTTTGCGTTCGTTTTCTCTGCAACCAGAACAGGCCGGGACGCAAAACCAAGTGTACGGTGTAAGCGGATATACCATCTACAAACCGCGATGTGACGTCACCACTGTCCGATTAATGGGAACGCCAGACATCGACCAAGAGGGGACTTATGTAACCTTTGCTTGGCCGACCTCGAACACAACTCGAGTGGTATGTGTACTGTTCGCACGACCGCGAGACACCGACGCATCTCTGCCTGTCAAGCTTATGAATGAGAGATATTCCAGGGGGGCAAAACTACCTGGTAGTAAGGGTTCTCAAAGGCAATCAGCTTCATTTGCTTGCGCCTTGGTTTCATCCACATCATAATACTGATACTCTGGTCTTACTAATCAGGGTTGGCAGCGCCCTGAAATTGTTTCTCCCAGCAGGTTTTTATCGGCCGGCAGAAACTGCTCGTGGCAAAAACTGGCAGAAACCCAAGTACTCCGGCACATGTTGGAAGCGACTGGGGAGGAGTGGAGAAGTAACATATCAAAATAACCCGCCTGTGAAGCATTAGGAGTGTCAGCACGGGACGCTGAGCATCCAGACAACAATAGCAAGAATGAGAGCCGCCTGAAGATTACAAGATGTCATAATTTCTTAGAAAGATGCACGGATTAGACTGACGTTAGCAGCAATTAAGTAACAAAATAATAATAATCCATCCCTGCGATATAATCCAACTCGTACGCAAAGGTGGAAGTGAAATCTCTGGGCTCTTACTAACAGTCAGCGGGGACAGTGTCTACCAGCCGGTTAGAATCCAAGTCAGGCAAAACAAGTTGCTAGGAGTGGTGTCCCGGAAGTAGAACCAGGAGGACCTGTTACCATGTTTTTGTACCACTTCATCCCACAAGTGGTGTGCTGCCATAAAACAATGCAGTCGTTTGTCTTGACGTGGAACTATAGTACTCTCATCGCACTAATGAGACAAAATAATTCAAAGCCTAGAATGAATGCCCTAGCAACCTGGCGGGAAAACTCCTATTTCAACACGTACGAGCGAACTGAGCGTCTTGTTTTGGGAGGCCGAGCCAAAAATTTTGCATGTCAGTACGGCAAAACTACAAAAAAAGCTCCTCCTGTGATCCAGTGGAACCCATGATCTGTTGTTCTCCACACACTCATCCCCAACTCATCCCCTTTGGATCCATATTAGAGACATTGCAGCAGCATGTAGTGTCTTGACATACCACTGCACACGTCACGGGTTCGGGCGGCATTGTTTGACTGACAATGTAGATCGCAAGGGCAGCATTGCAAAAGCGTCTTGTGCCATGGCTTTCTCTTGCATTTCGTATAAAATATGAAGCATCATCTACTCCGCGTTGAAGAAGAAAATGCAAACATGCTTCAAACAAGTGACTGATGTGAGCCTCTAGCACTGAGAGAACGCAGTCAGCAGCTCGAGTCGATCTGTTGTATCCGAAGCGGAGCTGGTGTGAATGACGTACGCAAATTAGCAACCACTCATGACTCGGGAGTGTATCTGAAAACACCGGCGGAGTGTATTGGGTTGGTGTGAATGGCCATACACCACTTCCCAGCCACCTGAATATTTCCTGTGATGTTCAAGCAAGACGTTTCCAAGAAAAATGAAATCCTTGACGATAATTCTTCTTGCGAATATCCAAACTAAGCACTCCCCACTATTTGCAAAGTGATTTCCGGGAGGCTAGCGATGTTTTCGTCCACCTAAAGCGTGTAAGCATTCGATGACATCTCCTGTCGGGCGTAGGCGTAGCATATCGTCGGTTCCATAAGTCCCAAGGCACTTGAAAGAGTGAAATCTCAACGAGGAATAAGGCTAACAGAAATGTTTTTACGTTATGTAATGCTTCCCGCAGCTGCACTGAACAGCTTGGGATGAACAAGACGACCCCTGCAGATCGGGGATACTTTAACTGGTCCGCTCGGTCTGGCGTACGCAATGGTGGCGCAAAGGCGCAAAATTTGACAACTTGAGTCAAAGTGCCTATCCAGACAAGAGATGTGTGGAAATAGAAGACCACGCTGCCGCCGGAAAACGAGGAACGTCGCGCCGGGCAAAATGTACGGCGGGTCAGGGAGCCCGACCTGGCACCGCCGCCGAGCAGCCCGCAGTGGCTAGCGGTTACCGGCAATTGTTGGAAAAGCGATGACTGAACAGGAAAGGGCTCAACAAAGACAAATTTTGCAAACACTGCTAAGCCATCCACCAGACGGACCCGTCACGACTTCAACATTTGCTGTTACCCACCTACACGTAGGCGCGCGTTAAACTGAAGTTTAACGCGAAGGCTTCGATCATCATCAAACATTTTGAGCCAACAAATACATTTTCAGGTGTCAGCCGCCAGTCCAAACCCGGCCAGTCCCTCCCAGATCATCTCTATTGCAAACTGACGCCTACCCAAAGCAATTCGCCGACGGCAGGGCCACCACGGTCGCACACACTGGCCGCCTCCACCTGTGCAGCCGGCCAGGTGCCGTTCTGCGGGCCGCTGGCTGGGGGCCGCGCGCTGCGGGGAGCTTCCCAGCCGGCGGCGAAACCGGAGCCGCCGCCGCGGCGGTGCGCCGGCCACCACAAAGCGCCATTCTTCCGCCGGCCGGGCGCTTTGAAGCGCCCGACGCGGCCGGAACCGCGACATCCACCCGGCCAGGTCAATGTGCAGGGCGGTGCCGCCGCCGGTGCCGCGCCCGTCACGGCACGCAAAAACGGCCGGTGGCTAGGCCTCGGCAGCGGTCGGCGGCCAGGCCTCGGCAGCGGCCGGTGGCCAGGCCTCGGCAGCGGCCGGCGTCGCGCTCCGCCCCGGGGTACACCGCGGCTGAGCGAAGGCCGACTATTCTGTCTCGACGCCGACCAACTGCCCTGCCTGCAGCGCGCCCCAGACAAGCAGCCGTCTCACGAAACGATAGCCTGTATGCAGAATCAGCACCCAGGCGCATGCCAGTAACGGGGACGTCACGAGCAGTGCAATAGCCAGACTTCCGCCACCAGGTGACAACCAGTAAGTTTTGTTTTGACAGAACGTGACATTCTCGTCAGCCGCCAAGTGCGTCGTGGCCGATGCGTAGCAATGACCCCTGCTAAGATAGTGGACGCCGAGCTGTGGCTCGTGTCGTGGCCAATGCGCTCGACTGACCCCTGCTAAGATAGTGGACACCGAGCTGTGCCTCACGTCGTGGCCGGTGCGTCGCACTGACCCCTGCTAAGATAGTGGACGCCGAGCTGTGGTTCACGTCGTGGCCGATGCGTCGCACTGACCCCTGCTAAGATAGTGGACGCCGAGCTGTGGCTCGTGTCGTGGCCAATGCGTTCGACTGACCCCTGCTAAGATAGTGGACACCGAGCTGTGCCTCACGTCGTGGCCGGTGCGTCGCACTGACCCCTGCTAAGATAGTGGACGCCGAGCTGTGGTTCACGTCGTGGCCGATGCGTCGCACTGCCCCCTGCTAAGATAGTGGACGCCGAGCTGTGGCTCGTGTCGTGGCCAATGCGTTCGACTGACCCCTGCTAAGATAGTGGACACCGAGCTGTGCCTCACGTCGTGGCCGGTGCGTCGCACTGACCCCTGCTAGGATAGTGGACGCCGAGCTGTGCCTCACGTCGTGGCCGGTGCGTCGCACTGACCCCTGCTAAGATAGTGGACGCCGAGCTGTGGGTCGTGTCGTGGCCGGTGCGTCGCACTGACCCCTGCTAAGATAGTGGACGCCGAGCTGTGGTTCACGTCGTGGCCGGTGCGTCGCACTGACCCCTGCTAAGATAGTGGACACCGAGCTGTGGCTCAGGTCGTGGCCGATGCTCTGGACTGACCCCTGCTAAGATAGTGGACGCCGAGCTGTGGTTCACGTCGTGGCCGATGCGTCGCACTGACCCCTGCTAAGATAGTGGACGCCGAGCTGTGGCTCAGGTCGTGGCCGATGCTCTGGACTGACCCCTGCTAAGATAGTGGACGCCGAGCTGTGGTTCACGTCGTGGCCGATGCTCTGGACTGACCCCTGCTAAGATAGTGGACACCGAGCTGTGGCTCAGGTCGTGGCCGATGCTCTGGACTGACCCCTGCTAAGATAGTGGACACCGAGCTGTGGCTCAGGTCGTGGCCGATGCTCTGGACTGACCCCTGCTAAGATAGTGGACGCCGAGCTGTGGTTCACGTCGTGGCCGATGCGTCGCACTGACCCCTGCTAAGATAGTGGACACCGAGCTGTGGCTCAGGTCGTGGCCGATGCTCTGGACTGACCCCTGCTCAGACAGCGGACGCCGAGCTGTGGTTGACGCCCCCGCCGCGGACCGATCCGATGTGCTTACAGCACTGATCATGTGAGTTATGCCGAGCAAACAGTAAACACTCAAGCTCTAGTAAATGAACGAATC